CCTGTAGCTTGTGGCCAGAGCCTGTGTCTTTTTCCTCCTTTTCTTTGCATCTCACGAATAGGCTCAGAACCCTTCAGGAAGCTGCTAATGTTGAGAAGGCACTGAAATACTGAGCATGCTCTGGCACACTCTGGCTTTAGGGCTGCATCCTGTAGAATGAGGCTGTTCATGTGACAGTCTCCTTTTACCCTGGCTCTTTCTCTCACTCCAGGTAACCTAGGCAACCAAACACTCCATGTTTTCAGAAATTTCTCTTTTTCTTGCAGGTTATTGATTTCCTCTGGCACAGTGGTTTCAGGATGAGATTTAAAAACACCTCTGCCACCACCTCCTGTCCAGAGTCCTCACAGGGCCTCAAGCTGAGTCATGACATTTGAGAACATGTCCCCCAACCTCTCTTGAGAGAAAATGAGAATGGTGGGGTGGGGGAAAATGTCTATTTCACAAGGGCTGGGAGAGGGTGGCATGACACAGACCTAGAGGTAAATCATGTTGCATTGATGAAAGGTACTCCAATCACATCACCATGACAACTCCAATCAAGGCATAATTAGAGTCTCTCTTGTAGCACCAGTGTTTAAAACATGCATGAGGGTTTGACAGCAGAAGCACCACACACCTAAGATGCTGGAAAGTGCTCATGAAGATGCTGCCTGCTAGCTTGTGAGTATGAGAAACACATCCTGATCTGATCATCCAGAAAACTGCCCACCAGAGAGGGTGAGGCAGGCAGGGGGAATACACTGTGGTTCGGGGTGCCATTACTCGGGAAAGGGCTAGTATTATTTGAAGTAGAATGCAATTAATTAAAAGTTTATGACTCCGAGCTAGGGAGGCAAGGGGCTGGTAAAGTGTCTGGTGCAAGGGCAAGAACTGAGGCTGGATCCCTGAGCACTCACTCAAAAGGTAGCCTGGCGGGACACTCCCACATTCCTAGGGCTGATAGACAGAGAGAAGAGGATTCCTGGGGCTGGCTATCGGCCTGATCGAGACACACTGGTGAGCTCTAGGATCCTACAAGACAACTGTCTCAGAACACAGGATGGAGAGCAATAGAGCAACACACCCAGAGCCAACCTCGGACCTCCACCCACACAGGCATGAGGGCCCACAGTCGCACACACACACACACAGGCACTCAGTCATCCAGTGCACACATATAATTGTATGAAGGAGATAAAGACGATGAGTCAGTAGTCATGGTCAAGTGAGGGCACCAGCAGGACTCAAATAACTGAGGGCAAAGTAAAGGGGGCTACCTGGTCCCCACAGAAGACCACCTCTAGGGGAAGCAGTGACCACTTAGATGACTCTGAGAGTCCTTGGCCAAGAACACAGTGTTGTTATCCATATAAGGCATGAACTTTTACAGGGTATGGGGCAGTGGGGCTGGCAGCTGAGCCTGGGCCCTCTTGTCAGAAGGTCCTGTATCCAGCATGCCAAGAAAGTCATGGCACATCCTGTAGTTGGTTGAAGTGAGTCACTGGAATCTCCAGGGAGGAGGATCTTAGAGCGAATGGTTCAATGACCCCCCATCCTGCTCTGTCACTGACTTTGAAACTTTACCATTGTGTATTCTAAAGAGCAGCATGTGTTCATGCTGGATGTAGAGGGGAGAACAGGAAGACCTACAGGTAGGTGAGGAATCAGGGAAGGGAAAATGTGACCGGAAGAAAACACAGCACCTGCTACAGCAGATGCAGTGTGGAAAAGGAAAAACATGACCATTGCTGTGCCAAGGGGAGAAATCATTGAAAAGAAAGCAGGCCAACTGAACAAAAATGACAATTTGGGTCATCACCTAGTCAGTAGGAGGGCTGAGAAGATATGTTACAAAACTCAAAATGTGCAGAAAAAAAAACAAGTTTCCCCCTGCGTTAGAGTGGAGACCACTACATAGTTTCTTCCCCTCTCAAAGTCTCAGACAAAAGCACATGGTAACATCCCAGTCCACATTAACAACAGGCGGCAGGTGATCATAGAAAAGAACATGTTTACACATTTGGAACAGAGCATTTCAAGCTGTCCGGTACAAGCAGAACAGGATGCCACAGACTTGAGTAGAGCAAATCAGTTCAATGTCAGGCAAGTGAAAATACCTAGTACACCCTGACACATCCCTCTGATCAGACAGAGATACGGGTGCCTTGTCCAGGGACTGCAGGTCACAGGGCATGTGAGAAGAAAGGACAAACAGTAAAGCAAGTGACACATCTTACAGATTTTCCCATTGTTCCCCAGTAGACAGCAGGCTCTGCCTCTCATAGCCAAATGGCCAGAACAAGATTTACCCTGGAAGAAAGCCTTCGCTCTCAAAACTGCCAGGACACCCCATAATGGCTGGTAAGGATGTGTTTTCAGGCCTCCAACTGCTCCCTCTACCATTCCAAAGGTACATACTGGCTGCTGCAGAGTGGTTGCTAGGCAACAGCCTGGAGCAATGAGCCACATCCTCATTTGAATAAGGCCACATCCACCCCACCCACCTGTGTGGCATACAGGCAGCTGAAAGGCCTCTTGTCACTTCAGCAAGGAGGGGTACATTCTGCCCTCCCAGATGTTTGCTTGGATCATCAGAGTCTTTTAGCAGCTAAGAAAAACAGAGTGTACAGACCCCCAATAATAAGCTGATAACTAATAAACACATACAAACTTGCCTCTGCTGGATCTTGACCAGTAACAGCAAACTTGAGGGCCAAGTGGCCTCTCCAGCTTCCAGTCTATAACATGGGCATACTCAGGTCATGGATATTTATAGTGGCATTACTGGAAAAGCCATGAAGTCAGTCCCCACACACATTCACCAGTTATCACCAAATCTGCTGATAACAATATTGATCAGCAATGTCTAGCACTATGACGATTCCACCCAGACACTCCTGCAGTATAGTCCATACCCCCTCCCCAGCCTGTCCATGCTGACCCCAGCACACATAGTATAGCTTCTTGTCTCTTTGCCTCCTCGTCTGCATGAAACTATGCCTTTCCTGACCTGCCTGGGTGTCCTTAAATTTCTGTATTAATCAGACGAAGAGACAGGGCTTGCAGCGGGGGTGCGATACACAGGTGTGCAATTTCAAAACAACATTGCTAGAATAATGATTGAGTGAACACATAGGAAATTCTTCCAGAGATCCAGGATTTGGTATGGCTAAGAGGGAATCTTCTCTTCTTCTATGTAGGTTCACACCACTGGAACCAATATTACCCAATATAATATATTAGGTAGCTGCCTTAAGCATACATTCCTTTACTTCAAATTTTGGATGCTGTAAGTCAATGTGTCTCTCCTATCCAGAGCATGGATCTCATAATACCTATAATTGCTATAATTCCTGTAATTCCTTTTGTGTGGGGGCATTCAATAAACTGACATCAAGAAACCATATAGAATACATGTATCTCTCTTATATATGCATATATATGTATATGTGTGTGTATAATGTGGGTAGCATTGCATTGTTCTGGATCATATAGGGAATGTTTTTTAACTTATGCTGGTTAAATATGATTTTAGTCATGGTTTCATATGTGGCTTTCAGTGTATTGATGATAGCTCCATGTGACATGCATTGCCTTTATTGTACTGTGGCACTTCTTTCTAATCCAAATTTATTGAGAGTTTTGATCTCGAAAGCAGGTTAAATTTTATCATAATTTTAATTTTATACGACCATATTATTTTGTACTTTTCGTTTTTACACTTAAACAATTACACATATGGCACCCTGTTTGCATCTCTCATATAAATCCCTCTTGATCACTGTGCATCATAATTTAAAAAATAATACTGCTGAATTTAGTTTTCTAATATATAGTAGTATTTCCATCTATAGCCATCAAATGTATAGCCCTATAGATTTCTTTTTATAACCCTGTAACTGTACCATCCTGGTAAACATGAAATCATAAAAAGAGAGCATTATAGTATATCTTAGAATTGATAAATATTTTTGTACTTGGCCATACTGTAACAAGCTATGATACACACTAAAAATATGAAGCTTTGGAACTGGAAAAATGTCAGATGGATTTTCAAACTCTTGGTAGAACAAGTCTATACGTCTTTGTACAGACAGCTATTTAAAATGCACATTAAAGGTGATTCACATGCAATCTCACACAAAATGAGGAACATGCTATGGGAAACTGTACAAAATGGTTCTTATTACAAAATGATAGTCAACTTAGCTGAACTCTGTTATATTGTATATAAAACAAAACTGGTAAGGAATGAATTCAGACATCTACACTGACATGCACTTGAGGTCCTCCTGACAGGGTAAGTCCTCAGCTACAGCAACTAAGAGCACCTCCTCTAATGTTTGCTATGTTCCTTTTTAAATGGTGGACCTTGCCCACCTCCTTTCTCTTCCTTCATTCTCTTCCTTCCTTCCTCCCTCCTTCCCTCTCTCTCTTTTTCTCTTTCTGTCTCTCTCTCCTCTCTTTTACCTCTCCTATCCCCCGAGACTGGTCTCCCCTCTCCCCCAACTTTCCCATTTATTTTCCCTCAATAAAAAAACCTCCACCTGAGCTCTGTCACATGGTATCTTTCTCTCATCCACTGCTTTTTAAAAGTTACAACAATGAACTTCAGTATTTATTTGAGAAAATTCCTCTTTTAACATTATTATTACTGCTAATTAACTAGTCATTTTAAAAGGCTTCATTGTGACTTTTTTGCATGAATGCCATATGCTTTGATGAGAATCACTGTTGTAATAGGAGTGGCAGGGCTGCGTCCCCAGCACCCCGGCCGCCTGCTAGCTTATGCCCCGAAATAATTACACGGACATTGTATTCTTTTAAACACTGCCTAGCCCTTCAACTCTAGCGCTTACAGGCTAATTCTCACATCCTGATCAACCTATCTCTAATAATCTGTGTAGCATCAGTCTTACCGGGAATATTCTAGCCTACGTCCATCCTGGGTCGGAGCTTCATCACACATCTGCCCGGGAGAGGAGAGCATGGCCTCTGTCTGAGGCGTCTACCCCAGAAAGGAGAGCTATCGAGTCTGAGCTCACTTCCTCTTTCTCCAAGCATTCTGTTCTGCCTACTCCACCCACCTAAGGGATGGTCTATCAAAATGGGCCAAGGCAGTTTTTTATTACCAATTACCTTCCTCCATCAAATCACCCACCTCTCCTCCATTATCTGAGGGAATCACTAAGCAAAATGCTGAACATATAACCTTTATTTTTCTTACTGCAAATAACAAAATAGGAAAAAGATGAATTGAAAAACATGTTAAAAAATGGATACAAACATAAATATTTAGAATACTCATATTGTATTTTAAAAGCATGTTCTAGTAAGTATACTATTATACCCATATTATGGCATTCCCCCAAGAACATCACTAAGCAAAAGCCATATGCAAAAGCAAAGAGCCTTTATTCATTTAAGTCTGAACTGGGACCCTCTTGTGTGTTTGATGCAGCAGAGCAAATGGAGAGGTCCAGTCCCGGTGGGGTAGGGTTTTTTTTTTTTTTTTATCATAGCAGAGGTTGGGGGTGAGGGAGTTTTCAGGTTTCAAACCCTGACTGACTGTCATTTGTCTAGGGGTGTTTTGGGGAAGGGAATAGATGAGTGCTGGGTTCAAGGAATCTGGTGATCTCATTTAATCTTACAGAACATTTAGTATATTCAGAATGTTAGGTACTTCTCCTTAGATACTGGCCTGTCCCTGGATGGTATCAGCTTATGGCTTTCCCTGGAATCGTGTGCTGCCTGCCAGGGAATGGAAACTCAGGCCTACTCCTTTGGCTGGTCTCAATCAAGCCTCTCATGGCAGCTGTGCAGCTTGGACCCCATATATGTGTCCAGGCTTCCCTTAACTCCATATATATCAAAGATGAGGTTGAACAAATTTCTAAATACACAATTACTGAAATTATGAGAAATATTCTGTAGTTTGTATCTTAGATATTCTTTAAAGACTTATATTATAAATGCTCAGTTCCCAGTATGACTCTGTGGGAAACATTAAGAGATTTAACATCGTGGATGATTATCAGGTCATGTGGTATGTTATTCCTCATAGCTTGCTCAGCCTTTGTCTTAAAGTTTCTTTTGAATGTTTTCAAGACATGGTTTCTCGGTAGGTATGGAGCCAATCCAGGAACTTGCTCTGTAGACCAGGCTGGCCTTGAACTCAGAGAGATCTGCCTTACTCTGTCTGAAGAGACAGCATCATCACAAGAAGTCTTATAAAGACGAAGAAAATCATTTAATTCAGGTACTGGCTTACAATTTCAGAGGTTTCGTCCATTCTCAACAGAACAGGAAGCATGATGGTTGGGACTATGGTGGTGTGCAGGCAGATATGGTACTGGAGAGGAATTGAGGCTTCTACATCTTGTGCAGGCAACAGGAAGTGGCTCAAGACACTGGGTGCTATCTTGAGAGCATATATGAGATCTCAAAGTCCACAATGACATGTTTCCTCTAACAAGGCCATACCCACTCCAATAAAGCCATACTTCCTAATAGCACCACAGCTTTGGGAGCCATTTTTTTCTTTTTGATTTTTGAGACATGGTTTCTCTGTAGCTTTGGAGCCTGTCCTAGAACTCACTCTGGAGATTGGGCTGACCTTGAACTCACAGAGATCCCCCTGCCTCTGACTCCAGGGTGCTGGGACTAAATATGTACACTGCCACCACCTGACTGCCATTTTCTCTAGAACTATCACAGTCTGCAGGGAGGGAGAGGTTCTCAGGAGCCCCTCCTGTGTCCACAATGGACTGTTCTATAGCACTCTGCTTGTTTACTTCTTTATTGGATGTGGGAACACAAGGCTTCCAACTGTGTTTACATCTTTATGCATCTCTCTTCAATTCTGATAGTTTTGGTACATATATGTGTTCATAATTATTATATCTTCTTCATAAATTAGTTTCTTTATCAAAATATTTTGTCTTTACCTCATTATAGTTTTTGAATAAATTCTATTTCATTAAATGTTAATGCAGCCATACCAGTTCTCTTGTTATCTTTGAACTTTTTGACTGCAGAAAAATATTTGATTCTGGGGACTACTAGGCTAAACCAACATATTTTAAAGGTATCTTTACTTTGGAATTTGAGTCAAAGGATGTTTGGAAAAGAGGTTCTTCTTTTATTTCCACAGAGGATAAGAAGCTGTGGATTCATTCCAGACTAATGTGGTTTGATGGACCAAGAGCCCCTGAAGGTTGCCTTGAACACCCCTCAAAAAATTACTTCACCCAATAAATAGCAGGAAGAACTTTCAAGAGAACTACGCCCATATTCCAAAATATTGTTTATAAATGTTTGTTTACATTTAAAGGCGGATGTGCTATGGAGATGGATACTTTGCATTGGTATGGATCTTGCTTTATTGATACAAATTTAAGATCAATTTTGTTTTATGTATATTTCTGCTCTTGATTAAGGTATTGTGTTTGTGTAGCTCATTTAAAAGTGTAATATATAATTAAGAAGTATAGGTTAATAGAGTCATCTATAATAGTCAAGCTTGTAGTCGTGTTAGGTTTTCTAGATATATAGAGATATATTTTAGTTAGATATATACTCTTCAAATCTTTCAGAGATCTACAGAATATGGCATTTAAAATGCTTTACGAAGTTAGGACTTTTCATGACAGTGAGACACACATGCTCCTGGCAGCACCAATTACTTCCAGAGGAAGATGGGCATCAATGAGGTTCCTTATGGAGTTTATTAGACATCTGGGCAAGAAATTGTTCTTGCCTGTACTGTTTGATAGTATGCTGAGTGAACTGGACATGCAGGACCCACAGAAAAATGACTGCTGAACTTGCCTAAAGGTGAAATGATCCTTAGGGGTTCCTGCTTCATGAAAGAGTCTGCTAGACATTCTGTAGGACATAGAAGAAAGTGACTGACAAACTGCAAATATAGGCAGAACTGTCTTTGAAATTTCCTGCGTCATGGAAAATCTGGGGAATACTATGGGCTGAAGATGGATACCCCAATGTCTTTTCACAGCAATAGACCACTGACTAAGATAATCTTCATGTGATTTTTTAATATATAAGAACAGAAAGTGCCAATTTTAAATGATACTGTGTTTTAGTCCAGAAGAAAAGTGCTGTTTCATCATTTGTAGGTAAGGTTGGAGGATTAACAATTAATAATTGCCACAACTTTTATGAAAGCAAACACAAATTCTTCACAATTATTTACTGAGTTTATTGTAGTCACTTTAAGAATTATATTATAGGATGTTGATGAACTATGAAAATAGTTTTCAAATGGATGTAAGAAATTGCATTTTCTTTGGTGAGTGTATATCTATGAAACCCTCTGCTTTAAGACAGTCATTCCCTAATGTTTATGATATATGCTTTAATTACTATATTGACCAATTAGATTATAGTCTACTTAAAGAAATAACACATCATTTGTTTGTTATGAACTAAACACAATATTAGCCTTCTTAAAAGATCACTTAATTTAATACTTGCACATATACTCATAATAAAGAAAAAATAAACTTTTAAAAAGCTAATTTAATCAACATTATTCATTTAATTTAATAATTAAGAGGCTTATTTTTCATAGCAGTACAATAGAAAAATGTTGGAGGACATTGAATCGCCATGACTAATTATATTACCCATAGAAAGGCATCAAAATGTCTGTTTTCTCAGCCACCCTCTGTCATGGCTGTACCTTGACCAGCAAGGAATGACGCGACCACCGGAGCTCTTCTCACTGCAGTTTTATTCCAGGACTTTATTCACTTTCTCTCTTTTTCCCTCTCTCCTCCCTCTCTCTACGGGCAAACCTCTCCCAGCCCTTAAGTAGGCATGGGCTGCCAATCCCGGAGTGCCAGGTGGGCGCTGCCCATAGGCCCACGCATATGCAAACAGCTGATGATCATTGTGTGATCAGGCATAAGTCAGACTTTAGCCATAGGAGTTGATTATACATCTCCATCAGGTGTGGCTCTATGTTGCTTGCTACAACCCTCTATATTAATGAGAAAAGCTTTTACTTTCGTTATTGAAAAACTATTTTAAAATCCTATATAGAAGTTAAGGTTGCCAGGTGGAGGTGGCACACACTTTTAATATCAGCAATTGGGAGGCAAAGGCAAGCAGATCTCTGTGAGTACAAGGCCGGCCTGGTCTACAGAGCGAGTTTCCAGACAGCCAAGACTACACAGAGAAATTCTGTCTGGAAAAACGAAAAAAAGAAAAGAAAGAAGTTAAGGTCATCACACAGTTAGCTTTGTTTAGTGAGGGCACTGCTCACTGATGACCCTTCAACGTAGGGTCAGGTGACTACTAGCTCAGGCCCCTGATGAGAGTTGTTATTCAAATAAAGCCTTATGATATTAAGTTGATTTAAGGAAAGCAACGGGTAAAATGTTGAGAGAAATAACATTGTGGAGATATTCAGAGAAACTGTTTTATAAAGCATCCAGAGTATTTAGCCTAAAACTTTGGACTTTATTCATAGAACCCTTTAAAACATATGGCTTATGACAATCAGGGTCCAGCATGCCCTACTGCTATTCAAATTGGCACTCTTGACCTGCCCCCTCCCCACTCTAAGCCCTGGAGCCAAAATGACTTCATCATCAGGTGCCAACAGACATTTCTCATGTTGCCTTGGCTGTCCTCAGAGCTTCCAGAGGCTTCTCTGTTGAGCTCCACTGGGGACTCCCTGTCATCTGAGGGACTCAGGGACTGCGCATGTCTTCACCACCCTGCTCCTGTGATCAGGTACAGAAGTTGCTGAGACTGTTGTGGTGTTCAAGCGCCCACCATGGCTGAAGCATCCTAACAAGTGGGGACAGAACTGTGACCATGACTGTGAGGACGCTGTCAATACCTATATTCACCTGTAGCTCTCTGCCTCCTATGTGTACTTATCTATGGCCTTCTACTTCAACTGTGATGACGTGGGCCAAGGGAACTTGAAGCATTTCTTCTTGAACAAGTCACAAGACTGCAAGGCCAGTGCCGAGATGTTCATGTTCATACAGAATCAGGGTGGAGGCTGCACGTTCCTTTGTGACATCTCAGGACCAGACCGCGACAGTTGGCATGGGGGCATCCAGGCTATGGAGTACACCTTCCACATGGAGATGATCATCAATCAGAGCCTGCTGAACATGCATGCATTGGTCAAGGGAAGAAGCAATGCAGACCTCTGCTACTTCCTGGAGCAATGCTGTCTGAAACAGCAGGTCCAAGTTCTGAAGGAGGTGAGAAGCTATCTGACCAATTTGTGGCGCATGGGGGCCCCAGAGAACCACGTGGCTGAGTACCTCTTGGAAAAGCTCAGCCTGTCCTAAAACTTCATGTGGACTGAACTGGAATGACCCCGCTGCCAAGGTGTCTTACTCCTCCAACTGATGTCCATGTTGCTTTTGAAGCAAGTTCACTTATCTTCTGCTTCTGTTTGACTGTTGTTTGAAATAAATTTGTTTGGCTTCAGCAAAATTAAAGTATCAAGTTGATGTACAAACTCCCATTTTTAGGGACTGTGTGTAAGTGTTACAGCTCTGAAGGGAAAGGGTGCCCCAATAAAAGTGTTGCAACTCTGTCATGGTGGGGGAAAGGTCTCCACAATGTAAGTGTTACAGCTCTGAATGGAAATGTATCCTGGCCTTGAAGAGTCAAGGAATACCACAAAGTCATACTGAACAACAAACCTCACAAATGAGATTTAGTGGCTGGGAAAAAAAACAGGAGGGTGGCTGCCTCTGGTCAAGTGAGAAGCAGCAAGGAACTCAAGAAAAGGCAGAGTTTTTATAGAGAATCTTGGAGTGTGGGAGAGGGGTGGAGCTTTCTAGGATAGCCTGGAATTGGTGAAATTTTTTATGGCCTACTGACCAGATGGTGGGGTTCTGTTGCTTGGCCCTGGTCTTTGTTTCTCTTTTGGTTCTGGTCTTGGGGTCAAGAGGGGGTCAGGGTGTTCATTCTTTGGCCCTGTTACCCTACACTGTGAGTGTGGCTTAATTGTTATAGTGCTTGCCTAGTATTCAGAAAACCCTGGAATGCATCCCAACCATAGCATGCACCATGGGGATTAAAGGTATGCACCACCCAGATTCGATAATTAATATAAGCCTCTGTGTGTTTCTTTGCTACTGAATGGCTGCTGAACTGTGCAGGACAGAAACTTATGTCTCCAATGGCTAGAAACTTAGTGCAATGGAAACTCCCAGAAATCTATGAGTGTGACCCTAGTGACTCCTAGCAATGAAATATATGGAGTCTGAACTGCCCATCTTCTATGATCAGACTTCCAGTGGAGAGATTGAGACATCAAACCAGCCACAAGACCTTTGAGCTATAATTTGTCCTGCCTATAAGATGTGCTAGGGTAAAGGTGGCACTTTGTGGGAGTGGCCAACCAATCAGTGATCCGGCTTGAGACCCATATTATCAAAGTGAACCTACTACCCCTGATACTGCCTATAGGGCCAGGATCCAGAGATTGGATATCCCAGAGACCTAAGATTAAACTAAATATGGCTGGGGAAAAATCAATGAAATGATTTCTAATGACATTCTGCTAAACTCATAGATTGGTGCCTAGTCCAACTGTCATCAGTGAGGCTTCACCCAACAACTGATGGAAACAGATGCAGAGGCCAACAGTCAAACACTAGGCAGAGAATAGAGAACCCTGTTGAAGTGCAGAATGTATTGTAGAAGCTACAGGGGTAAAAGCCACCACAAAAATCCACAGAATCAACTAACCTTGGCTCATAGGAGCTCACAGTGACTGAATCAACAACCAGGGAGCCTGCATGGAATTGAAATAGGAACTTTGCATAAATGTTGCAGCTGTATAGCTTGATCTTCTTGTGGGACTCCTAACAGTGGGATCAGGTGCTGTCTCTGACTCTGGCGCTTGCTTTTGGGACACTTCCTTCCTACTATGTTACCTTGTTCATCCTTAATAGGAGATGAGGTGCCTAGCAGACTTGCACCTTGATATGCCATTGCTGGCTGATTGATATGCATAGGTGGCCTGCCCATTTCTGAAGAAGAGAAATTGAGGAGGAACAGATGGGAGAGGGAAGGGGAGAGAGACAAAACAAACATATGGAAAAGAGCCCAAGAAAATGCACAAGAATCAGACCCACTCCTTTCCACTCTCAGGAGTCCCATAAAACCAATATAGAGTAAGACATAATATATATATATATATATATATATATATATATATATATATATATATATATGCAGAGGACTTAGGGCAAATCTGTGTAGACATGTGTAGGAAGCTTTAGTGTCTGTGAGTTCTTATAAGCTTTAAATCAGAAAATACTTTCTGAACAAAACACAGTAAAAGCATTAAGATCAACAGCTAAAAAATGGAAACTCATGAAACTAAGAACCTATTGCACAGAAAGGACAATGTCATTCAGACAAAGTGGCATCCTATAGAATGAAAAAAAATTTTCCCCAACTATATATCCAATTGAGGGCCACTATCCAAAAGACAAAGAATTTTTAAAAAGTAGATGTCAAAAAAAAAAAAAAACAAATGACTCAATTTAAAAACGAGGTACAGATCTAAACAGAGAATTCTCAAAAGAGAAAATTCAAATGGCTAAGAAACACTGAAAGAAATGTTCAACATCCTTAGCCATCAAGGAAATACAAATCAAAACTACTTTGAGTTTCCATATTATACTTGTCATAATGGTTAAGATCAATCCAAGTGACAGCTAATATTGGCAAGGATGTAGAGAAAGGGGAACTCTCCTCCGTCACTAGTTGGAATATGAATTTGTTTCTTGTTTTTTATTAAATAATACATTTGTATTAATTCTTTGAGAATTTCATACACCTTATTTGGATAATGTTCACTCCCATTCCTGATCCTCACTTCTCCAAGCTCCATCCCTCATCCTTCCACTTCCTGGATCCATTGCATCTTCTCTTTTATTTTGAAGATGGATTCCTTCAACAATATATCATAATTATAATTTCTCCTCCCTCTACTCCTTCCAATTCCTCCTCACCTCACCTCCAGATCCACTATTTTTCTGTCTTTCCTTAGAAAAGAACAGGTTTCTACGAGATAATAACCAAACAACAAAATAAAATATGACAAGATAAAACAAAATCACCACATGAAGCACGATTATAAAAACTCAGACACAGAAATAAGGGTTCAAATTGAAGACCAGAAAAGTAAAACAGCCAGCCACTGGCTCTTACCTCTACCTCAGTCTGAAATGGCAATGATCCTGCCTCCAGGAATCTGAGAAGGAGACTGTGAATGTAATCTGTCTCCCGTTTTATATTCCTCTCTAGTTCTGGGATTGAACGCATGCACCACTGGAATTAAAGGCACGCACCACCTAGTTTCTATGGTAAATAGTATGGTTACTGAGTTTTTTTTCCCATTCAAATATTTATTCTTCCTTCAATGCTCCCAATCCCCTCCAGTTTCCCACTCCCCTCCACCTTCCCGCTTGAGAGAGAGCAGGGAACCCTGCCCTGTGGGAAGTCCAAGGCCCTCCCCTCTCCATCCAGGCCTAGGGAGCTGTTTATCCATATAGATTTTTTTTTATCCAAAAAGCCAGAACATTTCGTAAAAACAAGACACAGTGCCTTTATCAATGGCTTCAAGTCAGCCCCCATTGTCAGCCACAATCAGAGAGTCCGGTTTGATCACATGCTCTATCAGTCCCAGTCCAACTGGCCTTGGTGATCTCCCAATAGATCAGCCCCACCATCTCAGTGGGTGGGCGAACCCCTCGTGGCCCTGACTTCCTTGCTCATGTTCTCCCTCCCTCCTTCTGCTCCTCATTTGGACCTTGGGAGTTCAGTTCACTGCTCCAATGTGAGTCTCTGTCTCTCTCTCCATCCATCACAAGATGAAGGTTCTGTGGTGATATGCAAAATATTCATCAGTGTGGCTATAGTATAGGGCCAGGTCAGGCACCCTCTCCTCATGCTCATTCAGACCTGGTCCAGCTGGATTTGATGAGCTCCCATTAGAACAGGCACACTGCCTCAGTTGGTGGATGAACCCTTCACGGTCCTGACTTACTTGCTCATCTTCTCCCTCCTTCTGCCCCTCAACTAGACACTGGGAGCTCAGTCCTTTGCTCTGGTGAGGGTCTCTGTCTCTATCTACATCTCTCACCAGACAAAAATTCTATGGTGATATTTGAGATAATCATCAGTGTGATAGTGGGGCAAGGGCAGTTAAGGCACCCTCTTCTCTTCTGTCCAAGGACATAGCTGGGGACCTCCCCGTGGACACCTGGGGTCCCCACTAGAGCCAAGTCTCTTGCCAACCCTAAAATGGACCCCTCAATGTAGGTATCTTCTTCCCTGCTCCTATATCCACCCTTCCTCCATCTCCACCCTCCCATTCCCCCAAGCTCTTGCCAGTCCTTCCTTTCTCCCTTCTCTCTCCTCCTCTACTCTTCCCCCAACCTCACCCCGACTCCTGCTCCCAAGCCCATGCTCAAAAATTTTGCCCGGGAATCTAGTTTGCTTCCATTTCCAGGAGCATCTATATATGTTTTTCTTTGGGTTCGCCTTGTGATTTGGATTCTCTAGAATTGTGAACTATAGCATTAATGTCCTTGTTTTATGGCTAGAGTGCACAAATGAATGAATACATACCATATATATCTTTTGGGGGTCTTGGTTACCTCACTCAGGATAGTGTTTTCTATTTCCATCCATTTGTATGCAAAATTCAAGATGTCATTATTTTTTACCACTGAGTAGTACTCTAATGCGTACATATTTCACAATTATTTTTATCCATTCATCCATTGAGGGGCATCCAGGTTGTTTTCAGGATCTGGCTATTACAAATAGTGCTGCTATAAACATAGTTGAACAAATGCTTTTGTAGAATGATTGGGCATCTTTATGGTAAATTCCAAAGATTGGTATTGCTAGATCCTGAGGTAGGCTAATTCCCAATTTCCTGAGAGATTGCCACACTGATTTCCAAAGTGGTTGCACAAGTTTGCATTCCCACCAGCAATGGATGAGTGTTCCTCTTAGTCCCCAACCTCTCCAGCATAGGCTATCATTGGTGTTTTCGATTTTAGCCATTCTCATAGGTGTAAGATGGTATCTCAAAGTTGTTTTGATTTGCATTTCCCTGATCACTAAAGAGGTTGAACATGACCTTATTGTCTCTTGGCCATTTGAAATTCTTCAGTTGAGAATTCTCTGTTCAATTCAGTGCCCCATTGTTAATTGGATTAATTAAATTTTTAGATTAAATTTTAAAGTCTAGTTTCTTGAGTTCTTTATATATTTTGGACGGCATTGGTGAGGATATTCTCCTATTCAGTAG